ACTTTTAAAAAGTAAAATGCAAAAATCTAAAAAAAAAAAAAAGATAAATCATATAAAATAAATAATAATTTAAAACATGAGATTTATTTTTTATATAAAATTTTGTACCTGTAAAATAGAAAAAAGAGTTGTTAATAATGTCTATTTCCAAAAAGAACGGGGTAGAATGTGCAAAACCTGTCGATTTTGAAGGTGCAAAACCAAATTAGTCTAAAATCGGAAGTTGCATCCTGAGAAGGGGATAACAGCCACTAGAATAGGCGTCTCTTGCCGTGGACTGAAATTCAGCTAGTTCAGTGAAGGTTCTCCATTTTCCGATCAACCAAAGAAGTAGTAAGATATAGAGCAGGCATTTCCTGGTCGGATTGGGACGGCGATGGGGGTTTCCGGCTTGTTACAGCCGCACCCGGTAGCGGTGTCGTCGTTGGTCCACCTCCGCCGCTGTTCATCCCCACGTTTAAACGTTCCTGGCCGGAGGCATATAAAGGGCCGTACCTCAGGCTTGGTGGTGTTGATTAATAAAGGGGAGGCGCCCTCAACTTCAACTCCCAGTTTCACTTGTACACCTACTCAAGTAGAAGCTGAAGCAGACAATGACCAAGATCCTCAGGACCTCGAATATGTCGCGCAAATTAAAAGGGTCTCTATTCCACAGCCTCAAGTTTATGATCCTATTATCTTCTTTAATGATTTCTTAATTTGTTTTCTCCTTTTAGGTTTTGGAGCTCCTTAGGAAAAACAGAGATATGTTCTTCAACGAGGTTTTCTTTTTTCGTATTTCTTAATAATTGTTGTCACTTCTCTTTGGTTACTGAACGCACTTGGGAGTTGGTACGCATTATTTAGACCTATTTATGTGGCGCGACATGAGAAATTTACAAACTTTTGCAGGTCAAGTTGACCATAATGATAGAAGATCCTAGAGATGTGGAGCGGCGGCGTATGCTGGGTATTGATGATGAAGATGCTCCTACGAGGGATGACCTAGCCGATGCTTTAGTACAAGTTAATTCAGTTCTAGTTGCTTTCTTGTATTCTTTCGTCAATATACCCCATGTTTGTTCATAATCTGTATTTTGTACTAATCAAGCGATGATGGTTAAGCTCAAAGTATTGGTGGTTATCATCAAAATGAAATTTATATGCAAAAAGCCTCTCATTTACTGCATCAGTCGGAGCTTTTATGTTTAGTGCACTGCATTTTGATGAAAAAGATGAAGCTTTATGAAGTTCATCTTTATATTAGAGGAACTCATTCACATGCAAATTTAAGTGGTTTGATATGGATTTGTATATACATAATATATATTAGGTGAATGAAGGTCAAATTCCAGAAAATCGAGCCGCTTTGCGTATGCTGGCTGAGGAACTGCTTCAGTGGCCTAATTTAGAGGTAAATTTGCAAATTTCAGATTTTTTTTTTTTTAATTGAAAAGATTATATCATTCAGTTGTTGCAAGAGTTATTAGCAGTATTATTATTACTATTATCTGGGCATAGGCTTATGCTCGTACAGTTGTACCATCACCAAAAGTGCTTTTAGTGATAAGCACTCACTTGTAGAAATGGGTATGTATCTTGGATTTTGCTGTAAATAAAGATATTTCCAAGGCAAAAAGCTTACACTTACACACAATTTGTGGTAACTGGTGAGCTAACATCCTCTGAAACATTGTTTCACTTTAGCTTAAGATATTATAGTGGCCCTGATAAGACCGCCGGAATGAATCTGAATTTTGGTTTAATGAGGGTTAGTTATTAATGATACAAAAAGAAATAGTGATAAAGATTGTTGAAAATTGAGTCCCGACCAGAACAAATTGATTGATATACTAAAATAATTTAGTATGTTTCTTGTCTGGATCAATTTTTTTTAATAGGTTGAAGCAACCAAGAAGAAACAACCTGGCAAATCTTTATACGCAAAAGTGACGGACACAGGTGTTGATCCACAAGAGGCTGCCAAGAGGCTGAATATTGATTGGGATTCAGCTGCTGAGATTGGTGAGGCCGAGACTGTTGATGATGTGGAGGTTCCCTCGGTTGTGGTTCGTTTTCCTTGGTCTTCACATTATAATCTAAAATCTTTTTTGGCAGGCCAGCTTAGCTTGATTTTGATTGCAACTTTCAAACTTTTTTTGCTTTTGTTTTGCATTTAGGTATACCCGTAGCGGTACATCAAGCTAGGTTAATCCTTATTCTGGATATGAACTGATTATAACCTTGCAACTGCAGGGATATGGAGCTCTTTACTTGGTTACAGCGTTCCCAGTCATTATAGGTATCTCTGTTGTACTCATTTTATTTTATAACTCTCTCCAATGAAGCGTTGACTGAGATGGATTGTTAGGAGATTGTAATCCAGTTGTCTGTATTTAGTGGCGGAATCTTGAAACTACAAATATTTTATCAGTTTCTTTTTTTTTTTTTCAATACAAAGCCTTACGAGTGTTTGTTGATTATTCATTGCGAGCGGTGAGTATTATATGTGTAAATAACGGCTTTATGACTTGCACGCACGCTCGTTCATAAAATAGACCGAATAAGGAAAATACTACAAGAGGACGTGGGAATCACAACTAGTGCTAATACTTGGTCCTCATGAACATGGATTCCACCTTCTTCCACACACACACACACACACACACACACACACACACACACACATATATATATTCTAAGCTCTGGGTGTTATTTCCACACTCAATTGTAAAAGAAAGCCTTTCAAAGCCACCTACATTTTCTATCTCCACACCAAATTAAGTTGAAAGAGTTCCCCCCAAATGTGTTACTATGCCTCGTGAAACTCATGCATATAATAGGCCCCACGCGAGTTCATTTATGGAGAAGAAAGATAGCGAGAAGCAGATTTCAGTGGACCCAATTTCTCTAGCCATGAGAGAAATAGAATCATCTCTAAGTAGGCAGACAACAAGCACGAAAGCTCACGCGATTAGCTACAGCCTCACCAACTCACCTCGAATTGGCTCTATTTTCATCGCAAAGCACAAGTCGAAAAGTAAAACTACTCAAAACCCTCAATATTTGGGCCGGCAACACTCGGTGGCTTTAACCAATTTGGAGAGGCTACGAGAAACCCACATGCGGAGGAGCAAGTCGTGCGGGGAAGGAAGGTCGTGCAGACCATCTATCGACTTTGATCTCTGGTCCACCAACAATCAACACCTAATAAAGATCCACCATCAAACTCATGAAAAAGAAGAAAGTGACGAGGAAGAAGAAGAAAGAGAGAAAGGTAGGGGATCTGGCAAGTTCGTTTGTGGGGCGTGCCTCTTCATTCCAGGCTTCGGTAAGGGAAAGGCAGTTAGAGCACAAAAGGAGGAGGTTACTGAGAGTGACATTGTTTCCCAAAGAATGTCCCTCGAGAAATTCGAATGCGGCTCTTGGAGATCGTCGACACTCATAAACTATGTAGAGGGCCACGGAGATGATGATCCCACGTCAAATCTCTTTTTCGACCTTCCCATTGAGTTGATACGATGCAGCAATGTCAATGACACAGAGTCCCCAGTCACCACCGGCTTTGTGTTTGATGATAAGGGTCATCATCATCGTAATCATAAAGGGGTTCTCAAAATTGGTAGAAAAATCGACGAATCACGTAATTCCTCTCGTCGCCATGTTCGTTTTTCTACCTCATCTACTACAGCGTGTCCTGTTTCACCAACTTCTCCCAACCTCCGCAAAGCCAGAGATGAGTTAAGTGCTTTCTTGGAAGCACAGAGCACATGACATTTTGTTTTCTGTTTGTGTATACATACCATCACAGAGTAAAACAATGCACCATTCCATTCCTAGTTTTGTTTTCCTTATTTTAATTTTTTTTATCTTTGACAAGTGAACAAATAAATTGTGTTTATTTATGTACTCCATCATAGAGCACTTGAAATAAACTGTGAACAAAGTGAGTGTGTCAAAAAAACTCGAAGGTTTTTACTAGATATAAATTGCCAAATATATGTTATTACAGTAGAAAAGACAGGATGCACTTGAATTAAGCCGGCAAAAGTCAGCAACTTCCATCAACCTTTCTCTCATTCGCGAAATCTGGAACAGCAATCCCAGTGGAAATTGGATTACCCCAAAACAGCCAAGTTCATATATGGCTGTACACAGGAATATATAATTTTTTCTCTACTTGAAACAAAATATAGCATATCTTCTAAAGATAACCTTTGTATACTGTGTACTTTAAAAACAACTATAGTACAGAAAATAAATTCAATTTTGTTTGCCTACAAGGAGAAATAGAACCAAGAAATGTCATTCATTGCTGAGTTCTCTGCAATGTGGAGCCAATCATTTTGAGCTCGTATCTCTTTACAGAAGCTGCAAAATCTCTCATTGTGGTATCCATAACGTAAGGAATCCCATCAATCGTTACTTCTGTGGAATTGAGAAAGTGGTGGCACGGTTCACGCCGCTCGGCCAGTGTCCCATGATAATGGAAGTACTTTATGCGCCCATCAGTCTTGTGTGTCGACTTTCCCGCTATGTTCTGCGACATGTGAACTCCCGTTGCAAACACACTTCGTGGCTGCACAGCGTATTTTCGGTCCCTACGAATGCCTCTCCTCACATTCCTGTACACTAGCTTCTCGAATCCCCATTTCCTACAACAGATTGTCATTGGTACGCATGTAGTTAGATAACGACTTGTGCACATTTTGGCCTTGAATAGCCATACAGGATAGAAATGATCCGCAAGTACACGGCACTTTGCACTGTATCCAAATGGAAGCCGTGAAGGAAAAGTAACAAGCTTGATCTCCACGTCATTTTATCACGACGCACAATCAAGTAAAACTGAAAGATGCTATTGTAAGGCTTCAAACTAAATTCGCTTGTATTGCCAATGTTTGATAATCCACTAAAAGCAAATCTCAATGGATTACATTGTCAATTGACCCATGTTGATAACTAGAGGATGAAATGTATGAAAAATCGAACAAAATGAGCTTGATAGATGTGTTTTGCTTTGTCCTTTATACATTTGTATGACAAACAAACGCACAAAAACTAGTGCAAGTAGGAAACAAATACCAGTTTAGAATTGCACACCCTATCACACTAAAATTATTTCAATCATAAAACTTGTAATAATGATTGGCGATGTAAAGTGAAGTGCAGAGGAGAGAGGCCTATGCCCCGGGATTGCGTAATTTGATGAGTGAAACAAACGGACACTTGAATCCAAAATAGAAAATCAATAAATCTAAAACATGAGTTCATTAACATACAGAATGCAACTTCTAAGGCTAATTCCATAAAATTATTAATTGCACATTACTAGACAAATAGCAAGCTTCTGGTTAGTAATGTATCAGATTGATTGAAAGGAAAGGCAAAGCAAAACAAATGAGGTACCTGAAAGGCATGGGAGCATCCTGGGAAAGGCAGAGCTTGTTGGACATTGGCATCTGCTCAATGGTGAACTGAGTGAAATCGGAGAGGGAATCCAAGACGGACTTGATTGTGCTTTTAGGCGGAACGTATATGAATTCATCCACATCAAAGAAGAACATCCACTTGGCTGAAAACCTGTACCTGTGCAAACAGTCGTTCACTATGAGGAACTGGTTATGATAGTAACCATCGAACCTTTCCTGCTCCCTCACATCGTGTAGAGTTACGAAGCCTTTGTTCATCCACGGCCTCAAAACTTGCCTCAGCCCCTGGTGCACGCCACCTGCATCGTGTATCACGAAATGGGATCTGGGGCCCAGCAGCCTCACGTGATAGGCAACCCATTCCCGCACCCTCTGAGGACTCAGGTTCCCGTACAGGGATGACCCACAATATAGATAATCGTAAGTGGGCTGGGGCGATGTGAATTGGGCCGTGAAGTTGGCGTAGTCTTGTGGGCTTTCGTCCAAGGCAAGAATGGTGTCGGTGATGTTGAGAAGGGTGCGGTCGCCTCCGCCATTGACGGCGGCCTCGAGAAGCAGCTGGCCACCTTGGCTGTCTGCGCCGACGGCGGTGGGGAAAGTGCAGTTGACGACGACGACCGTGTAGACGCGGCCGTAGCCCCAATCGGGAAGGATCTTGCGGCCGGGAGTGGAGACGGGGTTACTACGGGGGCCCAGCCAGAGGCATCGGTAGGTGGGGTTGCCGTAGAGGTGGAGAGGTTTGGAAGAGAGGCCGACGACGGCAAAGGTGTTGGGGCCGCCGCGGTACGCCGACATCAGTATGAAGTTGTAAGCGGCGGAGCCGTAGGGATTGAACGCCCGTTTGAGCACCCGGCCATCCTCTGACACCTCATCTCTGCTTTGCCGGAAGAAATGGCGGTGGTGGGCATCGTTAGACGAAGTATCGTTATCATCAGTATTATTGTTACTGTTAGGGTGAGAGGGGGTGGCGGTGAGGCAGTGGCGGATGTCGGCGGGGGAGAGAGAGAAACGGGGAGGGATAAATTGGAGGATGACGGCGAGCGAGCAAAAGAAGAGGAGCACCGTGAGAAGGAGTTTGAGCTCAGCTGCGCAATTCCACACAATTCCGACGGACATTCTCTTGAGCTTGCGCTTCTCTAGTTCATCGTCTTTTAGCATTGGCATAGCCGCTGAAGGTACGAGGTGCCGACACTCAAACGAGGTATAGAATTGTTATCGAGTAATCTAAAAAAACGCAATTACGTCGGCGAGGCCACGCCGACTGCGGTTGAAATGTTGAATAATGGCCGTCAAAGAACTTTCAACACAGCTTATTTACTTTTCTCTCTGCGTGTGCTTGTATTGTGTGTGTGGAGAGATGTCGAAAGAGCAATCAATGAAGGCAGGCTCTCTCGGATTATTTTATTTTGCTTTACGATTATTCCCTTAGATGAACCTAATTTGAGTTATAACTTAGGTGACAACACTATTGTAAATACATTATTTAATAATTTCTTGATAATACATTTACAATTGGATTGTAATCCAAGTTGTCACTCAAATTGGCCAAATAGCATTATTTTTTATTATATATATACTAGTACAACACCCAGTGACGGACCTAGAAATTTTAACGAGGAGGGCCATTTTAAATGTTAAATAACGAGCATGTAGTTTAAGTAGACACTCATTTCATATAAAAATATATTTACAATAAATAAATATAAATATTGGCACGTGTACCATAAAAAGAAGCTCTACACCTTCAAATTATTACTTTATGTATTTATAATTTAGTTCAACATATATAATTTATGGAAATATATGTTTTTTTGTTGAAAATTTGATTCAAATTGAACTTTTACACAACATTCCATAGCATTTTTTTTTTCATGAAAGCTTATCAAAGGTACATATTTTTAAGAAAAATAAGTGATGTTAAAATATGTGATTACACACACAAAAAAAAAAGAGTAAAATACCAACATTAAAAAATGTAACAATCCAACTAATAAATAATCAATTTTATATATTCCTAAGTCGATTTAAAATTAAGAGACCAAAAGAGTAAATCATTATAAATATTTTCGAAAGCTTATCTAAAATTTAAAATATATGGGTTGTTAGCATATTTTTCAATAAATAAATAATATTATTAATTTAAATGAAAATAGCATATGAAATAAGTTTTAATTAGTAATATATTGTAAAAAAAATTTACATTTCGATACATATTTTATGCTATTTTATATATATTGTTTTTTAATGAATTTTAATTATTGATATATTTATTTTATAGTATTTATATATATATATATATACTGATTTTTTTTAGAATATGAGGGGGGCCCAGGGACCCTCCTGGGCCCCATGTAGCTCCGTCAGTGACAACACTCGTGTATTACACGGGTGCTTGTTAAAAAAATATTCTTAAATTTTAAAATTAATGAAAAACTATATTAAATTTAGTTTACTTGTTTACAAAAAAAATATATTACTATATATTTTAAAATGATATGTGTTACTTATGACTTACATGTATTATATTATATTAGTTTTTATAACTTATATCATATAACTACTTGAAATATAAATATATTAGCTGATAAATAATTTTATTTTTCTAATTAATATTAAAAATAATTTTCTTATTGTTATAAAGATAAATATAAATTATTTTTTTTATACATACAATATGGATGTTAAATCGAAGCTCATCAAATGAAGATTAATTTGGTATATTACATATGTAAAACTGATAAAAAATACAAAAGTTATTAACTTTTATAATATATATACAATTCAATAGTTATAATAAGGAATACTATTAAAATACAATTAATAAATGTAACATGACCATAAATAATCAACATATTTATGGTAATCCGAACCTAATTATTTTTTGTTTGGAATTAAATTAAAATTTACCCAAGCCTAATAACGAAGCATGTAATTTTGCCACATAGAATTCCGAAGCACCAAAAACAGCCACGTAGGCTCAGCGCGTTCTGGATTTATATATAGAGGGATATTTTGTGTGTGTTTAATTAGATGAACCTAATTAAACACAAATTATTTACTTAAAGCCTTAATAGAACCTTTCGCCTTAGGTCTTAGCTCACTCAATAAACAAATGAGATAAATTATTATTTGATGTTAATTTTTATTTTTTCATCAATTTAATTAAGGGAAATGGGTCAAAAACACCCCCAATGTTTGTTGTGAGGTACATATATGTTCATGAAGTTTCTTTAGGTGCAAATATATCATTAACGTTTGCTAGTATTAATGTATATATCTCCAATGTTTGTTGTAAGGTACATATATGTACATGAAGTTTCTTTAGGTGCAAATATATCATTAAAATTTGCTACTATTAATGTATATCATTGCTACCCGTATGAGCTTTAAACATTTTGTCCAATTACGCCACTCAATTTATTGTTTAATGGCCATAAAAAATACTTGCATGACAACATCTCTCGAGACTTCATCAACATTGTAAGCAAATTTTCCTAAATAAATAATAATGTTTTCAGTTTATATTTTTGAAAGCACAAGTTTCACCTCTAGTAGTTAAATTTGCATGCATTGAGTATTTTTAGTTAAGAAAAATATATGAAATCAAACAATCCCATTTTATTAGCCTTCGTATAATCTTAAAGTAGTATAAGTTTTGTGTTGACAATTATTGTTCCTTTTGACAAACAATCTCATTTGACAAAATAATTTTAAAAGTATTTTGCCTTTTTGCGTTTTTGTGTTTTTTCATAATTTACTTTTTTTTTTTGCATATATAAAATTGTCCAAAAAATTATTAGCAAGTGTTTACGTCATATTAAATGTATTTTTGATCTTAAGTTTTTTTTTTCTCTAAAGGGGGATCAATACTGGTTCACCAATTCCCCCCGGTAACTCGAACTCGGGACATGGTACACGCCGAGCGAAGGTACGCGCCACTGCGCAAACCTTCTTCGTAAGTTAATAGAGGAAGAATGTAAACATCATTAGAAAGAATGTAAACATTATTATTGATTAAACTTTAATGATATACTTGTACCTGAAAAAACTTAATGGACAAATATGTACCTTGCAGCAAACATTAAGGGTGGACAAATATGTACCTTGCATTAACACAACCCAATAAAATGTTTAACTAATCTAAAACATTAAAATATTCTTAAAATATATATCTTAATTTTTTTCAAATTTTCTATGTTATCCCAGGCACATCTATCCTAGGTATTAATGGATATATATCAATATATTAATAACTACACATGAAAATTATTTCAGTTTATATAATAGATACAATTAGTATCTTTGATAGTAGCAGTGAGGTGTAGATGAGTTAGGATTCTTTGTTCATATGTTTAACAAAATGATTAGATATGTTAGTAGTTAAGATTTTGTAAATCTCTTACAAAAACTAATAAATAAGCATTTATAGAATTAATTTATTAATTTATATGTATGGTAATAATCTATATAAATAATATGTTGAATAAAAAAAATATATAGTATGTGTATTGAATTTTATCAAATATATATAAAAATATATGAATATATTATATATTATACAATGTAACACAGAGTTGCCTAATTAAATTTAGGACTATTTAGTATGGGATTTCTTAAACCACAATAAAGCCATGACAATATCGGAAGAGATATGGGAATGACAATTGTATTGTGATTTTAATAATTTATATTATAAAATCATGTTGAGATAGATTTAAGCTTGGTCAAATTATTAGTACCCATCTCAATTAAGTGAAAATGTGCATAGGATTGCATAGATTCAATAAAATCAAGACATATGCGGCAATATATGATAAATTTGATATTTACGTCAAACAATTTTGAATAGGATAGTAATCATATTTATCTAGATTCCAAATTTTAAGGGAAGTATTATTACTGGCCGATATTTTATTAAATAAAAAACGTAACAAATGCTATATTTTAGGGCAGCATTTCGAGTTTCTAAAAAAAAAAAAATAAAAGTTATTATAAATGGCATGTAATAAATGCTAATGACAGTTTGACTAAGATTTGACTTATTATTTTTTACAAATGGTAATTCTTATATATATATACTAGTACGTACCCCGTGCGATGCACGAGACAAAAATATTCAATGAGTTATTTTCACAGCCTCGTCTGTTTAAGTCTAAAAAGTAATAATGTTATTATCTATTTTCTACCTCTTTTAATCAACGTTAAGTCTAAAAAATTATTAAGCCGCCCTCTGACAAATATGTAAGAGTTATGTGTTCGTGTCTCATAAGTCACAAACATTATGAATAACATTACAAATTATTCATTCAAACTTTTATTCATTGCAAATATATTAAAATAGTTTATATAACAGCCATTAAATGCCACTTTCAATATATTTATAAATAAAAAGTACATAAAATTTCTGGTGTGTTCAAATTTAAATAATTTTTTATGGGCTCAATTTTAAATCATCCAGACATTTGGTCAAACGCATATGTATGTTCAAATTTAAATCATTGGCATTTTGGTCGATTGAAATTTAAATAATCTACCATGGTACTGTGATGCGCATTATATATATATATACAATTTTTTAACAAATAATATGTGCTTTATAATAATAATAATAATAATAATAATAATAATTTCACAAGATTTTAAACATAAAATTTGGTTTTTAATCACAATAGAAAAATCATGGTAAGTTGTATTGAAAAGGTGTTATGAGATAAAACAATTAACTAAAA